ACCCTAAAAGTGTTCCCAACTCATCGCGTTTCCCCTCGTCGACGGTTTCCGGCCGGCTGTTGTTCCACTTTTCTCTCTCTCTCTCTTCTCGTGAAAATTTCTTACCCTTCATCAAATTAAATCGAGAAATGGAAGGGCGTCATGCATCTCTCGGCCGGCGAACGGTATTGATCTCTCTATCTTTCTCTAGATTTTGCTAAAGTTTTGAGGCTAATTTCGATATTTATCGTCTATCCCTCTGGAAGTTGGAAGAAATTCGACAGAAGCGAGCAGCAGAAAGATTGAGCAAGGCCTCTTCTGGACCGGATCTCACCAAAACTCCCACTGGTGATGAATCTTTTATCTCCTCTCACTTTTTCTGTTCTAATTCTAAATTAATGTCTGCCCCTGTCCTTTTGTTTGTTTGTTTTTTTGCTATAGATGATATGGGGATTAAGAAATCAGAAAGCGCAAATCGTTTATCTGAGGTACAGATGCTCTTGCTTATCATGAGATATGAAGTCTAGTTTGATAAAATTGTTTGCTTTGTTCGTCCGATTTCGTGTTGGTATGGATATGAGTCATTCCCTTTTTTCTTACCACCGTGCAGAGTGATATCAGTGGTTTGGTGTCACAATTGAAAGAAATGCAACAAAGGAACTCAAAGCTGGAGGGGACAAACTCGGAATTGACATCATTGGTACCCAAGTATTCCAAAGTTTGAGTATAAGTTATTACACGTGCAGTGCACATTTTAATGTGGTGAAGTCATCATGATTACCACTTTTTTTTTTTTTTTCCCCTTTTTTGTCTATCCACCAGCTGCAGAGGAAGGAGGTGGATATTGATGTGCTGCAGAAGCGTCTCGCTGATCTGGTACTACCTCACCTTGATCTGATATGTATAAATTTGGACTGGTAGTTGAGTTTTAAGTGAACCTTTGAATTGAACAAGTTTGATATAAATCGAATGATACTCTACATTTTACCATTATACGAAGTAGACTGCCCTAAGCACACACACATATCTGGTTCGGACAAGATGAAGTATATCTCAAGTTAATCATATCCCCATTACTGTTGGAAACATCGTCTTGATAATGAATCTGATTGCATAGATAATTGTTTCATTAACCATTTATTAGGGACATTTCCCAGTTAAAACCCTTCGCATGGATTCTAGAACAAAAAATGAAAATGAATATAAGGTTGGTTGATTTTGGTGAGTTTGGTTGATGAAAAAGTCAACATAAAGTGCCTGTAATGTGTTTCTGGCTAACTTCTTTGTTTACTGTTTTTCGAATCCAATGAGATGACTGGATGGTAGTAAACTTAATTTACATAAAACAAATTTCATCTATATTCAAGTGTATGCCATTGACTTCTGTTTTTGAACTCTTACCATGAAGCATTAATCTAAAGTGTGGTAACTTCAGTGGGTTCAGGGACTGTAACATTGAATTCAGGGTCAAACCTCCACATGCAGGTTCATAGCGTGTTTAGAGATCAAAAGAGTCACGAAACATGAGTGTCTGAATTCTATTATCTATTAGATATTTTCAACTTTTATTGCCTTCACCCTCGTCATCTATGATTTAAACCTCCCGACTTGTCTTGTATTTCCTACAGAAATCACCTAGGGAAACATAAGTTACTACTGAAGTTCTATAGATCTGAAAACAATACCTGGTAGATATTTTTTGTATTCAAATTATAAGATGCTGAATGTAGATTCTGATCCTATGTCATACATGTTCTGTGCCATCAGTCATAACTTAATCATTACCATTTTTTGCTGTGTGCCATTTGCAGGAGAGTACAGTGCCCTCGCTGAGGAAAGCTCTCAAGGATGTTGCTATGGAGAAAGATGCTGCAGTTGTTGCAAGGGTACTTTATCAGCCACTATCGTAGTTTTGCTATGCAGACCTTTATTCCCACCCCTTTATATATAGCTCTTTTGTTTTGCATAGGAAGATCTCTCTGCCCAGCTTCGTGCACTAAAAAAACGGATGAGAGAAGCAGAAGAAGAACAGTACAGAGTAAGTAAGCTGGAAGCTCTGTGGTTAATCTAGCAAGTGCTTGCACATCCTATTGTTTGGTCTTGCATATGCTTACACAAATTTTTTGATTAGGCTGAAGAGGATGCTGCTGCATTAAGGGCAGAGTTGAACACATTGCAACAACAAGCAATGCAAAATCATCCAGGTGACATGGTTGCAATGGGATATTCATTTGACCAGATTCAAGCCTTGGAGAAAGAATTATCCAACTTGAGGTCGAAGCTTGAGGTTGGTTTATAGATGAACGTCGTTTTCTTGTTTCAGGAGATTATCTTTATTTGAATCATATAACTATTTCCTATTTTTAAAACTTTGTAGCAAGAGACATTATTGAGACAGCAAGAGCATCAACACTTAGCAGAGGAGCAGGCACGAACATCTGCCCTCATAATTCAGAAACAAGAGCTTGAAGAAAAACTCGCATCTGCATCTGAGAAGGCTTTAGGTATGGGAAGTTCTTGGTTTAAAATGACCTATATTGTATTGTATCATCATTTTATTCATGATAGTACCCAAGTCTGGCCAACATAACATCATCTTCTGTGGAATCCATCTGGATTGTATGATTTATGACATGATAATACCTTAACTGGTGGCTTGCACTGCCTCTTCATAGAGGGTCTGCCTACAATTTTTGTTCTCTTTTTTTCCCTTATATCTTGAGAAACATTTTCTTACTGCTGATACATTGCTCTGGTAATGACCACTAGTCCATGACGCATTCTGCATTTGTTTTACCTTTCAATTTGCAATGTAACTTTCATAATTTATCTTCATCTTACATATTGTAGACAGCAAACAAGGAGGAAACCAGCGTCCGTTTACCTTGGTGAGAATTATTTTGACTGGTCATAATTTAGTTTAAATTTGGAATAACATTTTGTTATTGCAACAACTACTTCTTAGGGTGCATTTGGTAGCAATCTATGATTAGACAAGATTATTTCCCAAAGCATTTCCTTAGCTTATCAAAAGGAAATAATCAACAATTTTAAGTTGTCCGGTTGCCTGATTAGGAACTAAGATATCACTTTTAATAATTAATAAGTGGTTTGAAATTCATAATAGCATATGATAGTGTATGCATATATACAACAACAACAACAACATACCCAGTATATTCCCAACAGGTTGGGGTCTGGGGGTCAGTTGTACGCAGACCTTACCCTTGTAATTATACAAGGAGGTTGTTTCCGTAGTGACCCAAGGTGCATTGCGCCGTTTGATATATTTTTTTTTTTTTTAGAAACTTCACTAATAGAAGAAGCACTAGAATTTAATTGAGCCATTTTGATCTAGTCCATTATTAGCACTATGCCAGGAGAATTGTCAACAATGGCTCTTCCAGCTCCATTTGCAATGGACAAAGNAAATGAGAATAGTTTGTCAATTAACGCACAACAATAATATGAGATCTTGGGCTTCTGTTAATATAATTTGATGGGTGAACATGCAAATTCTTTTTATGTATAATAAAATAAAATCTGAAATTAAGTTTGGCTGTAATTAAAGTAAAAGAAATAAAAAATGAAGAAATGGCTATAAAAAAGTATAGCAAGATACTGATGTAGAATATTCATAAAAGGTGACAAAATTTTGTTAGAAACTTGCAATTTGCAGTATCAAACAACAAATTTCTACAGATTTTTCACTATAAATTACCGTGTATTTATCTCTACTTGGAAGGTTGTAACACGTAAGAGGAAAATTTACAAGATATCATTGGAGAAATATGAAAAACAGGAGAAAAAAACAAAAGAAGATGAATGAATGAGAAGAAGAGTATAATCATAAACCCAAGAAATCTACGTAGGAAAGAAAAACCTCGCAGATAACAAAGATGTTGTACGGCTCAAAACCGGTTGTTGCTCTCCACATTCTTCCACCTTCCACTGCTAATTTTTAGGTTCTTGCAGAAAGGCAGGCAAATTGGCAACTTGGGCGAGTAGTCCACCTGGTTATTGGCCAGGAAGGGTAAATTGCTCATTCACTTGAGTCAAGTAAATGGGGTGATATTATATCCGTCAAAGATGGTGGGATATGGAATAAAATCTCTGGGAATAAAATCGGGCTTGGGTCATTTAATAAGCTAAGGGATATCACCTCCAATAAGAGCAACCAAATGCACCCTTAATGGTTAACAATTACTCTCTCCCCCATTCCCCCTCACAACTGTATCAACAATTATTTTACTTTGGTGCCAAATGCCCTTCTACTGAACAAATGTTAGATATAATATCAGGAAGATAAAGAGAGACTTGAGAATCAATTGCATGATATGGCACTAGCTGTTGAGAGATTGGAAAGCAGTCGACAAAAACTTCTAATGGAGGTACAAATTTTGATTTAGTCTATTTAACGTTTAGACTTGTAACTCATTGTCCTTGAGTTTATGCATGCAGATTGACTCACAGTCTTCTGAGATAGAGAAATTATTTGAAGAAAATTCGAGTCTCTCATCTTCTTATCAAGAATCAATAGGATTAGCCGCGCATTGGGAGAACCAGGTACTTTCCTTTATGCTTGTGTTTTCTCTAGTTATTTGCATCATTTATTTGCCTTAGCTGCTTGATGAATCTCTTCATGATATATTTTACTGTGTGCTGAAGGAGATGCTCTAACTTTATAAGAATGTGGAAAGTTATTCTTACTATAGCAAGACACTTATATAAGCTTCTTGACTGAAGCATTTTCTTTGTGCTTGTGCTCCATGCAGGTGAAAAACTGTTTACAACAAAACGAGGAACTTCGTAGCATGTTAGATCAGTTACGGATTGAGCAAGCTAATATGTCAGGTCCCACTGGTAAAGTTCCTCCGGTAACTGAACATGAGTATGGGTCTGAAATGTATTCCCTTAAGGTAATACCATGTTCCTCGTTATGTTTATTTCTGTCTGTTTTGACCTTAATAGAGTTCCTTGGCAATAGGTCTTTGGGATAACAAATTAGTGAAGCTTTACAATAGGTCTTGGGATAGAACATTTTGTTTCTTGGGCTGCACGTTAATTTCTCACTGTTCTGCAAGTTCTATATTTTCAATTTCAAAATGCACAGGTAGTTCATGTGAGCAATTCCTCCATTTACTTATGGTAACTTTACATAGGGCCAGCTAGCTAAAGAACAAAGCAGAGCAGAAGCGTTATCCGCTGAGGTCATGCAGCTCTCACTACGTCTCCAGCAAGCAATACAAGCATATAATGCTCTTTCCCGCCTGTATGCCTTCTACTCAATTGCTTATAGTTTTCTTGTTTTCGGATGTTTTTTGCTTGGGTCATTGATTCCAACTATTTGCAGCTATAACCCTGTTTTGCGGAACATTGAGAATGGTCTTTTGAAGATGAAGCAAGATGGCTCACTTACTGTGCAGTGATGAAAAGAACTTGGTTTTTGTAATTTTTCCAGATTGGAGATATTTATTTGTTAATATTTTGATGTTTAAGGTTGATGGATAATTGGTTGATAGCACTGCATGAGAAAGTATTTGTGTTCTTTGTACCTGGAAGAACAAAAATTCTATGGAGCCATCGGATGGTTTTTTTATGGAGTCATCCACTACTTAATGTATTGACACCTGTTCAAGTTATATTTATTGCAGGACACGTGTCAATACACTATTGGTGAATAAGTGTGGATGACTCCATAAGTCGAGTCATTCGATGGCTCTATAGCAAAACTGCCTGGAAGAATTAGTAAGTCTGTTTAATTGACTTTTTGGTTGTGACAAACGAGATTTGTTATTCCTTCGATTCCTTTGTTTTTGTCTTTTATGGTTTTAATGTTTGTATGGGGTTATGATCTTTACCAACAAACTTTGCAACATTTCTTTCTCTCCACTTTACTACCCTTGAAAAGAAAAAATTAGTTCTGTTTCCCGTGGGGGAACAACAAAAAATATAACATTAAAAGATAGAGTAATTCATACAAATGGATATTTATACATTATTCAATACTTATATACAACATTTTTGTCTTAATGTTCAACAAATTAATATTTACAATCTTTTTCTATTTGCATTTGTGGCCCTTGAAATAGTGACAGAACTGAACAATAGTAAATACGGGGTTCTTAAAATATAAACCAATATGGAAAAGATAGTGGTCTTGGTTCTTGTTAATTGTCATGGCATACAAAGCCATCAAAGTAAATTATCGCCTTTGGAACTTGAAGACTATACATGATTAGAAGTAGATTCATTTTAAACATAATAACCATATCAAAACTGTGTGAAACAGTTAATACTTTGCACTTTAACACATGACCGACGAGTCTCATTATAACAAAACTTGTACTGTTGGACACCAGTCTATGGCTGTCAGACAGGAGGCTATGCAAGTTTTGATGAACACGTCTACGGCTGAGGGAACTCCCGTGCGGGATCATAACCTTAAGTTGATGGCCTAGCTCAATGAGCTGGAGGTTTCAAGGCCGATATTGACGGGGAGACTTAAGTTGATAACGTGCTCCAGTCGCTGCCCAAGAGCTTTGAGCAGTTCCGCTTGAACTACAACATGAACAAGTTGTCGTTCTCATTGGCGGAGCTTATCGGTGAGCTTCAGGCAGCTAAGGGGCTATTTCGTTAAAACTCACATGCGCTAGTGGCCGAGTGGGATGGGTCCTCTACCTCTAGATCCAAATAGTCCAAGAGGAAGAGGAAGTCTACTGGGAAGGCTAAGGTGGCGTCTGGGCCCGTGATCGCTCTGGTGGTCTCTCAGGGAGATCCGAAGAAGCCGAATGGCAAGTGCCATCGCTGCAAGAAGTCGGGATACTGGAAGGTCGACTGCCCCCTCCGCAAGAAGGGCAATGGAGGTATTTACTATCTTTTGTCGTAGAAACATGTTCAACGGTGTTATCCACCAGTACCTGGTGTGTGGATATGGGAGCCGCTGATCATGTCAGCAATTCATTGCAGGGGTTCCAGAAAACCAGGCGACTTTGAGATGGAGAGATCACCATCTACATGGGCAACGCTACGAAGGCGGAAGCTGGTGTTGCAGTGGGAGACGTTACTTTATGCTTTGCTAGGAATAGATGTTTGATTTTAAAACATTGCCTCCGTTTAGCCGAAATTTGATTTTTGTCTCTAAACTTTCTATGAATAGATACTCTATATTATTTAATGACAAGTTTATTATTTGCCGTGGAAAGCATTTCATTTGTTCTGGTTCATTAGTATGCAATTTGTATGTTCTTAAGCAAAACTATCCACACTGCAATAATCAGTACTAAATAGCACATTAACTAAATCTAATAAGAGAAAAAAACCGTCGAAAATGAGTCAAGCATATCTCTGGCACCTTAGGCTTTAGCACATTAACCTCGGGTTGATTCATAGGTTGGTATCCATTAGACAACTCGGTCCGATGGAGGTAGACGAATACTGGACTTTTGAGTCCTGTCTAGAAGGTAAAATGGCTAAGCGGCCATTTTCGGCTAAGGGGTGTAGGTGTGAGAATGTGCTGGAACTGATTCATTCCGATGTATGTGGTCCTATGTCGATCCAGGCTAGAGAAGTTTCGAGTACTTTGTCATATTTATTAATGACTAGTAAAGTACACATGCGATGCACGTGATGCATATTTTATATTTTAATGTGATTTTTAAATATATATATATATATATTCTCTTTTATACTTTTATGGCGTATTCAATATTTTGCATTATTAATTTCAATTAATCTAACAAAAGAAGTACATTACATGATAATGAACTGTGTCTAATATATTAAAAATTGAAAAACAAATTTCAAAATATTAATATTTAAAAGTCGGGTAAGGCTACAATCCCGTTACGAAACCATTCCGTTGGGATTTTTAACCGTTGGATGCACATGTAGATTAGTGTAGCATGTACATCAAACGGTTAAAAATCCCAATCTTCAATATATGACTGTATAAGGATTAATTAAATTGTTTTTTAAATAAATTATTGATACCGGAAATTCTTACAAATTTTAAAATAATGATCAAAATATTATTACATCACAACCCATTATTGAGAATCATGATATTTTGAAACTTAAAAAAATTATATAAGAATTAGAAAAATATAAATAGTATAAATCACTAAACATGTAAAAAATAATTATTAAATACTATTTTATATTCTATTTACATTATATTCTCGTACATCAGAGATATCATTGTTCAGTTTATGACGCAATTAGAAAAATATAAATAGTATAAATGACTAAACATGTAAAAAATAATTATTAAATACTATTTTATATTCTATTTACATTATATTCTCGTACATCAGAGATCTCATTGTTCAGTTTATGATGCAATCATGTAATTGTTTCATGGGTGATGAACAAAAAATCAGAAGCTTTAGTTTATGATATTGCAATTGAAAAATAATTTGTGTATTTGAAATAACATTTCATGGAAACTATTTATGTATTATTTATTTTGGATTAAAAAATATTTTGTAGGTTTATATTAATTCCGTAAACGTATTATCAATATATTTTATATAATTCGTTATGATAGAAACATGTACCAAATGTGATATTTTGTAATTAAAGAAAAATATTCCTATTAAAAGTTAACATATTTTATAATTTGTTTGACAATTACGTTCAATTACTTTTTGTTAATCTAATTTTATTTGTTATTATTCATACTTATAATTTTACTATACATAAATTATGCTTTTATGTCTTTTACTAATCATTGTAAATATATCTTTACTATTATAAATACATCAAATATAAAAGATATCTTAAGCAGTCAACATTCATCTATTTGCTAATTTGTCTTCGCATTTATTTTTTTTTTAAATTTTATTCATTGTTCTATTATAGAGTAGTTTTTATTGTGATACTTCATTTTATAAGTTTTTGTTGATTTTTAACCATTGACTTTTCTTGATAAAAAAAAAAATATTTAAATAGTTGTTAAACTTTACTTTAATGAAAACACCTTTAACAAAACGACGTAATACATATATAATTTATAGATTCTTAGTATAATAAAAATAAAATTGATATTAGATGACATTATTATTTTTTTAAAAATTATATTAATGTGTTCAAATATTTTAGTTCCAACAATTAAATCATAATATGAATAAAAATAACAAAAATAAAATAATAATAATATGATTTTATATTTTAATAATTGCTATTATGTCCATAAATTCATGTGCAAAATACATATTTTGTTATCTTTCATGTTATATCATTTGTTTTTCTTTATTATTTTTTTCTCATCTGTCCTACTTGATACTCTCTTTTTTCGAAAAAGAGATTTGAGTAGTTTTACATGCCATGTTATTTATTTCATGTAAATTTTACAATAATTATGTTATATCAATTTTGTTTATTATGACATGTAGTTATGTAATTAGTAATATGAAGAAAATATACATTTAGAATTGAAACAAATTTATATTATAGTACTTTATTTTTAATGCTTTATGTACTTCTCCTACTTTTTTATTTGTTCTATATAATATTTAGGGATATATTTTAATACAATTAAATCTTATTGAAATAGTTTGCGTTCCCTTTATTAATTTTTTCTTTACTGATAAGTTAATATTTTGTTTACCTATTTAAATATATTTTGTTTAGGTTTTATACATTTTTTAAAGATTTTTGTTTAGTTAGAATCCTATTTTATTGATATATTTAATTGTAATTATAATTCATTAATAAACTTAATGGTTATTATAATTTTACCATTAAAAATAATATAAACATAAGGACTTTGTAGTCCGTGCAGTTTTTTGCAAACCAAAAATAAATTATATAAGAATCAACAAATATAAATATTATAAGTCACTAAATATGTACAAAATAGTTATTAATTACCACTTGATATTTTATATATTATATATTTTCATACATAAGAAATCTCAATGTTCTGTTTACGACGTAATCATGTAACCGTTTAATGGGTGATTACAAAAAATTAAAAGAATTAGTTTATGATACTGACAACTACAAAATAATTTATGTATTTGAAATAATATCTCATAGAATGTAAGGTATTTATGAATTATTTATTTTATATTAAAAAATAGTTTATATGTTTTATATTAACTTCGTAAAAGTATATCAATATACTTTGTATAATTCATTATGATAGAAATTGTATCAAATGTGATATTTTGTTGTTAAGGAAAAATATTTCTATTAAAAGATTTGACAATTACATCAAGTTACTTTTAGTTAACTGAACTTTATTTGTTATTATTAATGCTTATAATTTAACTATAAATTATACTTTTATTTACTTTTACTAATCGTTGTGATTATAGTTTTATTATTATAAATATATCAAATATAAAAGATATCTTAAGCAATAAACATTCATCTATTTAGTAATATGTCTTCGCATTTAATTTTTTTAAATGTTATTCATTATTCTAGTATAGAGTAATTTTTATTGTTATATTTCGCTTTATAAGTTTTTGTTGCTTTTTAAAATTTGACTTTTCTGATAAAGAAATATTATTTAAAATAGTTGTTGAACTTTACTTTAAAGACACCTTTTCATAAAACCATGTAGTACAATTTATAGATTCTAAGTATAATATAAAAAATTTGAAATTAATTAACATTATTATTTTTTATAATAAATTTAATATTTTGTTCAAACATCTCAATTCTAGCAATTAAATCTAAATATGAATAAAAATAAAATAATAATAATATGGTTTTATGTTTTAATAATTGCTATTATGTCCATAAATTAATGCAAAAAATACATATTTTGTTTCTTTCATGTTATATTATGCGTTTTATTTATTATTTTTTTCTCATATGTCCTACAAACTCTTTCTTTTTTCGAAAAAGACATTTGACTATATTTATATGCCATGTTATTGTTTTAAGTAAATTTTATATAATTATGTTACATCAACTACGTTTATTATGACATGTAGTTATGTAATTAATAATATGAAAATAATATACATTTAGAATTGTAAAATAGATGATAGTATTTCCCCTACTTTTTTATTTGTTCCAGATAATGTTTAGAAATATATTTTAATGTAATTCAGTCTTATTGCTGCGACTTGATAGTTGTCAGACAATTATGCATGCGTTTGGCTAATTTTGCATCCTTTGAGATATGAAACCGAACTTCATCCATTGATTGATAGTTCTTCAAACTTCTAAAAACTTTTGCATATGCTTTTCATAAAAAACGCTTCCAGTAGGAATTGAACCTACGAATTCACCAATTATGAGTTGGGCGCTTTAACCATTCAGCTAATGGGTTTGTTAACCGTACATTCAGATCAAGAGGAGTTTGGAAATATGCACATTCTATTCTCGACCTCTGAATTTGTTTCTACAAAATAAAACTGAAAATATCCAGACCCATCTTCGTTAAATAATAAGATAGGAAGATCATGATAAACTACTCCTTGAGCTCGAAAATTATAGACTTTTTGTCTTGCAGATGCAAGTTCTTTATCTAATTTGACCCCTAATAATGTAAAAGAGAACATACTGTTAAATAGACGATTTAAAACTGTTTTTCCTTTTCCGACTGCGAAGTGAACAATTCATATAATTCATCAGACACTTTAATAGGAGCAAATTTGACTTTTCCATTATCACAGCAAAATGTTGGACATTCGTACTGAAATTTCACAACACCGTAGCGTATGAAATTGAGCATTTTTTCCAACTTCATGTATCACCAAATATACCTGCCCTTTAATAATTGAACCTAAACAATGACAGATACAGATTACTTATTAAATCACATGAATGAAAGACCTAATTAGATTTTTCTATGTACAATAATAATAGAGTATCGATAATAATATATCTCTAGCAAATCACATTAAATGAAATTTTAAAAATAACATGTTAATATATTTTTCATAAAGTGATGAATGCACATTTTTTATTAAGGGCAATTTTTCTTAGTTATATTTATGGGTGAATCAAACTTAATTACAAATATACAAGAAAGACATCATTAAGATTTTAATTTGTACAAAAGTAAAGTATTGACACCATTAGAACATCAACCATGGAATGACAACCTAATGTAAAAAAATAAATAAATAAAGAACAATAAAAACAACAATTTCTTGAAGTATAAAAAAACATATGCCACTCATTTAGACATTATAAAAACTTGTATATATTTTGTATTATAGGATAAAATATTTCTAATCTTCAGGTCCAGATGAAGGAACTCCATTGGTATCGAGACATGCAACACCCACATTTTAGCCCTTGCGACGTTTATTTATTTATTTAACAATATATACTTGATTATGATAAACATCTAAATCGTTGAATCTTCTTTTCATCTTAGCCGCATTTCGACGTCGATATATCCTTCACTATGATACAAATGAATATATATGTTAAAAACAAAACATATATTCATGTAAAATAAATATTATGATGAAAAAGTTATATATTCATACAAATAAACATATATACTTTAATATGGCTTTTTAATTAGTTAATTATTATATGTTATAATAGTTAACTAATGCCATATTCATTACCTGTTGTTATATCGAATGTGGATGATCTTTCACTCATGCTACAACTTGATCACTTAATATAAGATCTTTTATTCGTTCGTGCCTCATCGAGATTAATTAAAATTGAGAAGTACTTATCTTGATCCGCAATAAAGCATTGTTATGTTAAATGAAAAACCCACAGTAATATCCAATTAAAATTTATTCTATAACAAAAACAAATTCACTATCTAAATCTAACATAAGCGTCCCACAAATATCGCAAACTATAAAGAAGAAATAAGATGGTCATTTTGTTATTTTGGAACCTTACCCAAGTTTCAAAGCTCTTGATGCTTTCAGTAGTTCGTTTTTGCAGAGGCGGAGAAGACAAATAAAACTTATTACAAATAGTTATGTGCAAGTAGAACAAAACTCTTCAAAATAGACCTTTGCAAATAACAACATAACATAATAAGAACGTAAAATTTAGAGCACCGGCCGCAAAATTGTACATCAAAGCTGGAAATTACCATTAAATATTTTATCGCTATAACATCAAAATTGATTATGGTTTCCTCCTCCAAGCATCTCTACTTTTCTGAAATTACAAGTATTCCAGTTCATATGTTTGTATGTTTGTATACTACATTTAATTGTAACTCTAGCAATTTATAACATCTACCTAATCCTAGTAGTCGAGATCAAGATACTTTAGACCAATGCAATAATATTTTTGCCCAAACCTGAGACATTTTAAGCCGAGCGTAAACATACCTAGGTCCTCATATTATAAGCATGCAAGACTCACTATCTCACTTATTGACATTGACAGATAAAATGGAAGTAGTGTCCAACATTTACCAATAGAATATGATGGATAAATAATTGGCAGACTGTAATTTATATCAAAAAGTAACGATTAATGAAAAATGTAAATGTTCTGGAACAATAAACTTTCACACCACAAGACAATATACTTTCCACTCCGCTAAAAGAAGAGTTCTCTTAACTGCAAACTCTCTTAGTCTTACCCCTGAATCAGGATAAACATTTTTAGATGTAAAAACATGTAACATATTATACATGTTAGTTTCTGATTAATTTGTTGTCTTACATCGGATGTAAAGTATCTTTAATTAAGGAAATCTTAATTTGTGGGTTATTTAACCCTAGTTGTATTTTGTTGGTGAGTTTAGCAAATTTGGCATTGCGGTTGGCGGTGCCCGGAGACGTAGGCTATTTTCGCCGAACTCCGTTATCAATTTTTGTGTTCTTTTTATTTCTCGTCTTTTATTTATTTCTGTTGGCTTATTTTCATTTGGAGTAGTACTTGCTATATTTGTTGGAGGGGTAATTTTGTCCGCTGCGTTTGGTGTTCTACCCCAACAAGTGGTATCAGAGACAAAGGTTTGCCCTAGGCTAATTCGAAGAGGCGAGCACTGCATTCGAGTTCGAGATGTCCAAGGAAGTCAAGGGCGCATCATCCTCTGCATTCATTCCGGCAAGGACGGTGATGCTGAACGTCAGGCTCCCGATGGAGATCTTCGATGGGACCAGGCATTTCGGCATGTGGCAAGGCGAGGTGCTGGATTGTCTATTTCAGCAAGGCGTCGACATTGCAATTGAAGAAGAGAAGCCAACTGACGTTGAAGAGAAGGACTGAAAGAATATCAACCGCTTAGCATGTGGAACAATTCGTTCGTGTTTGCGAGGGAGCAGAAGTACGCATTCAAGAATGAGAATTCTACTCACACTTTGTGGAAGGCTTTGGAGGATAAATTTCTGAAGAAAAGCAGCCAGAATAAGCTCCTCATGAAGAAGAGATTGTTCCGATTTGAGTACCGGCATGGCACATCGATGAATGACCACGTCACTGCATTCAATCAGTTGGTTGCAGATTTGTTGAATTTGGACGTCACATTCAGCGATGAAGATTTGGCTCTCATGTTGTTATCATCACTTCCAGACGACTTCGAGCACTTGGAGACTACACTACTTCATGGGAAGGATGATGTAACTCTTGCAGTGGTCAGTTCTGCTCTGTATAGCTATGAGTTGAGGAAGAAGAACAAACAAGAGACGAAGAATGCAGCAGCAGAAGATGAAGCGTTGGTTGCAAGAGGTCGGTCGAAGAGCCAAAAGAAGAATGGACGAGGAAGATCACGTTCCAAGGCCAAGCTTGAAAAAGACGAGTGTGCTTTCTGCCATGAGAAGGGACACTGGAAGAAGGACTGTCCTAAGTTGAAGAAGAAAGGCAAATCTCCTCAAGATGCATATGTTGCCGAGGGTGGAAGTGAAGACTCAGAATTTTCACTTGTGGTTTCACCTTCATCATCTCATCCAGAAGAATGGATTTTGGATTCAGGATGCACCTACCGTATGTCTCCCATAAGGGAGTGGTTCTTTGATTTTCAAGAGATCAATGGAGGGGTTGTCTATATGGGTAATGATAATGCTTGTAAGACAACTGGGATAGGTTCAATCCGTTTGAAGAATCGCGATGGTTCCACTAGAGTTTTGACGGATGTTCGGTACGTGCCGAGTTTGAAGAAAAACCTCATCTCATAAGGAACCTTGGAATCCAAAGGCTTGGTAGTGACTTTGCGAGATGGAGTTATGAAGGCTACATCCGGCTCGCTCGTGGTGATGAAAGGCATCAGGAGGAATAATTTGTATTACTATGAAGGTGATACAGTCGTTGGGACAACAATAGTAGCAGATTCCACCAACGAGGAGTCTGAAGCAGTCAAGTTGTGGCATATGCTGTTGGGACATGCTGGTGAAAAATCCTTGCAGACATTAGCAAAACAGGGATTGTTGAAAGTTGTCAAAGTGTGCAAATTAGACTTTTGTGAGCATTGTGTTCGGGGAAAGCAGAAGAGAGTGAAGTTTGGAACGGCTATCCATAATACCAAAGGTGTCTTGGATTATGTTCATTCGGATGATTGGGGACCTTCTAAGATCCCATCATTAGGCGGAAGACGCTATTTTGTCACTTTCATCGATGACTTTTCCAGAAAACATGTTTGGGTGTACACTATGAAGACGAAGGATGAAGTGTTTGGTGTCTTCATTACATGGAAGACGCAAATTGAAAATCAGACTGGAAGGAAGATCAAGGTCCTACGAACGGACAATGGTGGAGAATATATAAGTGATCCCTTTCAAGAAGTTTGCCGTAAAAATGGCATTGTTAGGCACTTCACCGTTAGACGGACACCACAACAAAAAGGGGTGGCGGAGCGCATGAATCGAACATTGGTGGAGAAAGTTCGATGTATGTTGTCCAATGCTGGTTTGGACAAGGAGTACTGGGCTGAGGCTGTAACATACGCGCAACACCTCATAAATCGATTGTCGTCATCTGCAAAAGATGGTAAAACACCGTATGGTCGGGGAAACCTGTTGCTGACTATGGATCTTTACATGTCTTTGGGTGTCCTACGTACTATCATGTGAAGGATTCAAAGTTAGATCCAAGAGAGAGAAAGGCTTTGTTCATGGGAATCACAATTGGCGTGAAGGGATATCGTCTTTTGTGTCTTGAGACGAACAAAACTGTGTTTTGCAGAGATGTTACATTTGATGAACATGGTATGATAAAGACGACGCAAACCCAACAGGTGGAGTTGACACCGAAGCAGGTGGAGATAGATGCGACGACGAGACGACCAGCTATGATCGACGAACCAATATCAAAGGATTCGTCGGATGATGAAATACAGACTCAAGAATCATTAGAGTTAACCATTGCATTGAGAAAGCCCAGACGAGAGATTCAACAACCTGCTCGATTGGCGGATATGGTGGCTTATGCACTTCCAATTATTGATGATGACATACCTTTCACTTTTCAAGATGTAATTCGGAGTTTAGAAAATGAGAAGTGGAAAAGGGCTATGGAGGAAGAAATGTTGTCTCTTCAGAAGAATCAAACTTGGAAGGTGATGCAACTATCAAAAGGCAAGTGGGCGATAGGATGCAAGTGGGTATTTGCAAAGAAAGATGGATTTCCTCATAAGAATGATGTGTGCTACAAGGCAAGATTGGTGGGTAAAGGCTACGCTCAGAAGGAAGGAGTTGATTATAATGAAGTGTTTTCTCCAATTGTTAAACACTCTTCCATTAAAATTTTGTTGGCCTTAGCAGCACAGTTGGATTTAGAGCTAGCTCAACTTGATGTGAAGACGGCGTTCTTACACGA